TAATGGAGTCTCTTGCTCCTTAAGGTCGTATATTGAGATAAGGTGAGTATGTTTAGATTGTTGGCACTGAGTCTTTACAAGGGCTTATGCTTAGTTCATTGTGTATCTAGGGTTGAGAAATATAGTGGGGAGTCCTCTACTGGTAGACTGACATTGTTCTATTTATACCAATCATTCCTTCTAGGGTTCCCTATGGCTCCCTATACCTTTCTGTTGATTCTATGGGATCCCCCATCACTGTCCTGCAACAGTCGCTGTCGTTCAGCGCTGCTATACCCACGATCTCTAGATTGTTACGTGCACCACCACTCTTTGTGTCTAAGAGGGTGCAGCTGCCATAGGCATCAGAGATGGTCTCCCTGTCCTTTGGACACTTGGCATGGAGGGGTGCTCCTAGGGCGAGGACTTGGTTTCTTATTATTGGGTTATCCTTTTGCTAGTCGTGGCCCATGCCTAAAATTTCGTCCTTATCAAAGAGTATAAAATATAATTTACCAAAGAGGTTATCATTTCTTAGAACACCCCCCCCCCCCCCCCCCCACGCCCATGCCCACGCCGACGGAATAAATAAGTGTAAAAATTGTCATGCAGCTCCTTAAATTTGGTGGTATTTTTTGAAAACTATTGGAGTGGCTCACACAAAAGTAATGGAAATTTAATTGAGACCCTATATTATTTCTTATGGTTACCCCTTCCCCCCTAGTATAAAAAAATTCTAACTTCACCCCTGGTTTTATGCAACATTTAATCCTTAACTCTTATTTTTTTCTGAACCCAAATTTAAATTTGATAAAAAAAAATCACTAAAAATATTCTCCAATGTACATCCAAGCAAATACTAAATTGAGGGAGACTCAAATTTTTACTTAAATCATTAATGGTTAGATTTCATTTTCCTTTAAAAATCTATGGTTATATTCTATCATACTTTAAATTTGAGTTTGTCATTTTTTAACCTTTTTTTTTGACAAGTTCATTGAATATTACATGGGGAGGGGGTGATAAAGTTGGGACCGTGATGTAAAGGTCCAACAGTAGACTGCTGAGTCATCTTTTAACTTTGAGTTTCTCCATTGAAGTATTTTGTATTAAATTAAGTCTTTTTTTTACCATTTTTTAATTTTAAATTTGAGTAAAAGTTTATATCTCTATTCAAGATGATCTATGCTGGCTTGATTTTGACCTTTTCTTTTGTGGGTTAGATACCTAATCTATAAAAAAAATTGACAACAAAGTTCCCGCCAATGATGAAGACAAGATTAAACATCACAAAAAGAATTTTTTCTCATGGCTAGCGATTGGTTTTGAACTCCTACTTTTCGTCTACCTTAACATGACATGCCAACACTTCTCTTTTCTTTTTTCTTTTTTAGAATTGGTTACACTGTCAAAGAGAAAAAAATTGACTAAAAACATAAAAAGTTCCTATCCCTAAGAAAGTATACGAGATCCCTCGAGTTAAAACAAATGAAATCTTTCCATCTCTGCATACATTAACACTTAACCAACTGTGCTACGACGACTTTGACAATGGTATTATTTTTGTTCCCAAGGTGGTTAGAGATCTACCATCTCTAAGGAGAAGAACTATATCAGTCTTAGAGGCTCCTAATCTTTCTCTTGTTAGCCTTCTCAGGTGATTCAGAATAAAGTATTGCAGATACCATTGCCATGGAACCACAATATTTTTTCGTTTTGCTACAGGGTGTTTAAATTTGTACCGACTACTCCTTCAACCTCAGGGTCTGACCACCACCATGGCAATGGACCATGATTGCAAGAGTAGTTCAACAACAGAATTCTAGCAAACAAACACTCACTAAAACCCAAACAATGCTCAAAACATATCAGATATGTCTTGAACAAGTGGCAGAATTTGTGAGAAAACAAACATTAATTATGCACAATTTACACAAATGGCATTAATTTATGCATGTTGAAAGGCATCTTAACACCTATATGCATTAAGATGAAGGATACAGGTTGAGTGGGAACCCATTTTTTGTGGCCTTGAGGAGGAAGGAATAAGAAAATTCTTGACTTGAGAATATGACCCATTGGCTTTAATTTGAGTTAGGATTCTGGAATTCCATTCCACAGAATCTAACTTTTCCCCCCAGACTTTTTTCCACAAGGAATAGCATTCTGTGGTCATTTCTTTCTTTCTTTTTTTTCCCCCCAGCCACACGCTGTCACGTGTGGTCAACAAACCACAACCAATAAGCGTCTTACACGGGTTCTCGCTAATGATTTACTATTGCATAAAATTATTCCTGTTGTGATCGTGCAACAATTATGGTGAATAGTAAGAAATCAAACAATTAAGAAAGCAGGAGAAAATAACACACAGAGATTTTCGTGGTTCGGCAATGTGCCTACATCCACGAGAGTAAGCGGCCGTTCTTTTTCATTATTCAAAGTAAGGTTACATCTTAAGTATTTATATAACCCTAATACGGACGTATTTACAAAAATATCCCTGTATCGTACCGCGGGGGTTGCCCCCGCACCCCCAACTAATCAACGTCCCTTTTATACAAATCCCGCAGGGCAGATGCCGTCGCGGGCTCCGCTATGCACACAACAATATATGAGCTACACATACTCTAACAATTCCCCAATGAGATATGTTCCTTTGTCAGTTAGCTTCTTCTTGCCCTCAACATAAAATATTATGCTCACATAAAAGCCTCAAAAAAGGAATGTAAGTACAAGAAAGAACAACAAAACCATGTTTTTCCTTTCAAAAGTGGAGAATATTATTGCTTCGTACAGAGGAAGTTAACAGAACTTAGAATTGCCGTGGTAAAAAGTATGTGCTACCCTTTCATACCGTACACGAGCACACACCAATTCACAGGGACAATAGCATAGCTTTATGGCAATATCAGGGAAAAGATGTTAAGTATTTTACATGTGCCATTAACAGAAAAGATCATTGGGTCCTCTAGAGACATGAAATGAATGTTACAGCTTAGTATAAAGTTTGTTCTACTTCTGGTTGACATAAACTCATAAACGCAGCTAAATTTAATGAATTTTTACCTAACCAATCAAAAGCATCTTGCATCACACGAAGAGGGTAAATTACAAGAAGACAGACTATAATCAAGGACAATCACAGGACAATATGGATGTTCAACAAACTCTACCAGTTGATCAATACATGGGGTTACAGAACCGATACTCCTCTCAATAACATGGTTAGCTGGTCCTTGAACAAAACTCAGTTTTGTGGATTTCAAATTCCATAATATGCACACCTATATACTGGCAATAGGTTCATATGTCGAGCTATTTTTTTAGCATAAAAAAATTTGGATGTATTCATTTATGCTGTCAAGTGACATCCATTAATGTTTGAAAGCTGTCATAGTTAGCCATTGATATACTATCAGTGAAGTGATCAATGTACCTGGCATGCTTTTATTTTCAGCAGCTATCCAACAATGTACCGGCAAGACACAGGATTATTCCCCTTCCGCAATATATTCCTATCCACATGCCAGCAAACTATTAGAGAAATTTGCTTTAATACTTTACCTAAAGTCTTCCATAGATTCCTCCAAACTGCATAAAATATCCTGATATATGAGAATAACTTGATCTTTCTGAAAAGTTCGATGGGAATTACATGCAGATATTGTTCTGTATATGAAAATAGGTATACTCTAATCATAACTAATAGAATTATAGATACTGTAGCAATGATGACGAAATGATAACGATAACATGAAGAGGAAGAGGAAATAAAAGGTTTTATAAATTCTGACTAATCTTGAAATGCTTCTTTTGACACGAGCAAGCTAGCATTGCTGTATGCGCATATTGAAATCAGTAATGTCGGCATTCTATTCACAACTTTTATTTTTCAATCTTGGAAGAACAGTGAGTTGGCAGATCCAGTCTCCATTACTAATTAATAAGTGAATTTATTCTGCATTAGCTTTTGATCAAGTTGGCATTATTCATTGTATTATATATGTAAAGGATATTTGTATAACCACTGTGCATTATTGTAACTGTTAAGCTATAAAACAGTTTACGCATCCATTTGATTCGTCTGTCATATAGCCTGATAAAGAAATGTGAAGAGGTTACAGCAGCATGTAGCCTCCATGATATATGAAGCTTGTTTAACCAGAATTTATGTAATGCATATGAGGCAGGTAATCATATGTATTATATAAAAGTTAAGATATGCATTTAGAAATAGAATGCAAGTATGCTTGTTTCATGAAATACACATGACTATTCATGCAAAATTGTAAAGATACGTAGAGCAGTTCCTGAAAAGCACTAATTCATCATCTCAAAAGAATAAAGAAGGTAATTAGCACATAGAGAAACAAGGATGCGTGGATCCATACCAAAGAATCTGCAAAGCCAATTAAGGTCAAGTCAAGGGCAAGGGGAGTGGTCCTCTCAAGGCCACGGCTTGTATGTTTTCAATCAAATGCAAGTATGGAAACAAGTACAATACTTTATATTCTCTTTTGAAAGGGTCCCAGAGGCATCGAATTTGTCAGTTCTGTTGTGTTTTACCAATTGAAGAGTGGAGAAGATTATTGGGACCCTCGTACCTTGATTTTAATACAGTCTAGGCTGCATAAGTTCCAAACTTGCTGAAGGAGACAAAAAGGAATGTGTTCCTTATTCCATTCCTGGCCTTCAAACCATCCCAAAGGAGAAGCATCTCTCCTCCACTTTTCATCCTTTCTATTGTATGTATCTAATTCGATGTTCTGGTTGCTTCAGTCAATAGAATCTTCCTTGTGAAAGAGAGTGTGGCTTTGAAGGTTTCAAGACATCAGAGACAGTTGATTTCTCCACTCCATGTCCAAAAGTTCCACTCTTAGATCCGGGAATAACTTTTCAGACAACGAATGGACAGGAGAGAAAAAAATGGCCTCTCTTTTAGATTTATCCTGGTACCTATTATAAGGTGTTAAGTGTTCCAGGAACTTATGTTGGGGAGGAGTTGAAATGGATACTGCTGTCTGAGAACGGAAAGTGGAGTTGCAGGACAGGACCCACATACGCACAAAACTGGGAGGACAAGATCTCTTTTCGAGACACTGATTATTGGATTGAGTCATGTGTTCTGTTACCCCTGTCCAATATTCTATACTGCACTTGAATGCCCTCTGTCTCCCTCCCTACTTCTTTATAATGACTGCTCTTGAGCTCACCTTCGTTTTGTGAGAATCGGTCAAGAAAATTAGAGATATATAAGAGCTGTACTAAACAGTTTCTTTACATCAAGACGTATTCACATTTCAGGTCTGGGAAGATTGGATCAAGAGACATACGGACTTTTCAGGTACAATTACAAGTACTTTGAAGTAGATGGATCATATCTTTTTACTCCTCACGTGAAGCTAATTGCATATTCTCATTGCCAAGACAGAAGATGTATCATCATCATCACCAACAAGGAAAGACCATCCATCGTTCCACAAGAATTCCCATCCCTTCCGAAAGACATATGTTCCTGCAAAGTGGGAATGGGAATGGGAATGGCATGGGAGAGTCAGGACTCGTCCTTTCAATCGATGCAAAGCCTAGACTAAAATGGACACCAGATCTTCATGAGCGGTTCATAGAAGCAGTTAATCAGCTTGGTGGAGCAGACAGTGAGTGCATACAATAAGTTTATGCTCACAAAGCACCAGGAAACAAATGTTTACATTGCTTATCCTAACTTAGATATATCTTCTTCTGTTGCAGAGGCTACTCCAAAATCAGTTTTGAAACTTATGGGGATTCAGGGACTTACCTTATACCACCTAAAGAGTCATCTTCAGGTAAATAGGTTTAACCTCCCGGTGTTACTTTAAAATTGATCCACAACAGAAGATAGGCCTTATCCAGTACCGTCTTTTCAAATTTTTACAAATTACAGTGGCAACCAGGAGCCATTGCCTGGTGTAGTTTTGAAATGCTGGCATAGCAATCGTAAGGTTGCATGTTTGAATTTGAGGGCAGCTATTTTGTGCTACTATTTTTAAATACCATGCTCTGGACATGGCATGTTGTCAGGACGTGAAACATGCAAGAATATATTGCAAGGAACCTTTTCCCTTCTATCTTTCATTTATTATTATTATTATTTTTTTTTTGAGAGTGAAGGGAGTTGGCAATAGATAGGGGTTCTAATATTATGAGAAGACTGACTACACTCTTCCACATTTGGCCTGGCAGAAGTACAGACTCAGTAAGAATCTCCATGGACAAGATAACAGTGGGACCAACAAAATTGGTAAGAAGTTCAAGAATTTTGAGCTGCTATTTTTAATACTATATCTATTGCTGAGAAGCAAGTATAACAGAACTTAACGAGTTTGGACACGATTGCAGTGGTCGGAGAGAGGATATCTGAGGCAAATGGAATCCCTATGGGTAATCCAAGCATTGGGTCCCAAACAAACAAGTAAGCAGGCAAAAAATCCATTTCATATTATTTCTGTTATTCAATCTACTGAATTGTCAAAAAATTGTTTTCCAATTGATATTACCCTATGTTCATGAGATTACTCTAACTTTTAGATGTTATATTCAGAAGCTTACATATGAATGAAGCACTACAGATGCAAATTGAAGTGCAGCGAAGACTACATGAGCAGCTAGAGGTAAAAATACCGAAGATTTTCCTAAATACCAGCAGTCCTTCAAACAACAGTGGAAAAAATACTAGCAGCTATAAGCACATATTTGCATTAATAAAATGAAGAGTATCCAAAAATAATACTGATTCAAAAAACTGTCTAACTGATAGCACTATAGTACTATCGGCATTTCTTGTTATAAGTCACAAGCAGAACATATAATTAGAAACAAATTTTTCCTTACACTTAAGACTATGATAACGACCACCATAATATCTTTAGATAAGAATTGTATAGTGTATTAAACTTCTACAATGTCATTGTTCTTTTGTTCCTATCTAGGGATGCCTTAAAGTTTGTAAGGAATTTCCCAGCTTCATTCTAAACAAGATCTATTCTGAACTGATACAGGTACAACGACATTTACAGCTCCGGATAGAGGCTCAAGGTAAATATCTACAGGCAGTGCTGGAGAAAGCACAGGAAACCCTTGGACGACAGGACTTGGGAACAGTTGGACTAGAGGCTGCCAAGGTTCAGTTATCTGAATTGGCTTCCAAAGTATCCACCCAATGCCTGCATTCAGCATTTTCAGGGATGCACGAGCTGTCAAGTTTATGCCCACAGCAAACACACAGAGCACAGCCAACAGATTGTTCAGTAGACAGTTGCTTGACCTACTGTGAAGGTTCTCTGAGGGACCAAGAGATGCACAATAACCTGATGTTGAAACCTCTGACTCGAAGTGCACCCATTGAGCCAAAAGATATTGGCAATGAGCTAAGGCTACAGCAGGCTGACTTTAGATGCCCTGAAGACATGAAAGAGAATCACAAGTGTGGTTCCACAATGGCTGGAGACAGAGAAAAAGAGTTTGCTATGAAAACAAATTCTAGCAATTTATCAATGAGCATTGGATTTCAAGGGGGAACATGGAATGCCAACAGCAGCTATCCAGAGGGGAGTTTGGCTAAACTAGAGAACGAGAAGATGTCATCGCAAAGATACAAAGTGCCTTATTTTGGACCTAAACTGGATCTAAACGCCCACGTTGAAAATGATGCTGCTTTAAGTTGCAAGCAATTTGACTTGAATGGTTTCAGTTGGACCTGAGAGAGCTAACTGGAACGAGCAGGATTGGTGACAAGTTCAGAAAGGACTGTTACACTTATTTTGATTTTCCATCAGGAATGGAAATCAGAACTTCAGCTCAGAAACTTCCTTTTTCAATTTTTAGCAGTCCAAGCAGAAGCTGTTGCATGGTAGTTTAAGTTCAAATCGGATAATGGAATAGATCGTGGTTCAAAGTAGCGGCCCATTTATATCTAACTCCGCACCTTTCGAGGTGATACCGTTACATGATATGTATAAATTCCAAGTCTCGCATGATTCGACCTAGTCATATGAATTGTATCCGAGTCAATCCCAAGTTACCAATTCACCGACACATTTTCACAATGCTGACCTGAATCTTCCATTATATTCAACATTTTTTAGGTTGTATCGTCTAATATCGCTACATGATACCGCGATCGATATATCTCAAACTCTCCGAATTGATGACCAATACCGTGACCTTGAATCGTGGAATGGATCACATAGTTACAATAACAATATGGGAAGTGTCAGTCAAGATTTTTAACAGGAAGATCTCTTGCAGCCATGCAATTTCATTGGATTAAACATTTCCATCATATTTTTGGCCACTATATGTACTAAAGTACTTTCAAAAAATTGTAAAGTTCTGTTTGATAACGCCTTTTTGAAAGTATTTTTCAAGTAATATTTGTTTTGCATTTTTTCCTTTTTCATGTTTTTTTTCTCGTTCGAATTGACTTATTTCTTTCAATCTCAATTGTTTATATGGGACAAGTTCAGGGCATGTTGGACTGGTTATGTGCTTTGTTGGGTGTAATTAGAATTCAATTCATTTCAACCCGTTTCATGAATGAATTAAAATGGATTGGATCACACCAAATTTAAGCCATAGATAAGTTATTAAAATATATATATGTTACCATTAGCGTTGCCACAGCTCTACCACCCATAACACCAGTGTCGCTGCCACCACAACCATCACCTCCGCCTATACCATCACAATCACTACCACCCCCTACCCCCACCACATCACTGCCGCCCAATGTGCCCTATTTCACACTCTGTACAGCTATACTTATCATTTCCCATTAACTCACCAACCTTTTAGCAAAGTACAAGTGCATAACAGTTTGGTTGCTTAGGCCTCTCTGGGCTGAGTTTGGTCGGTGCCACTGCCTTCATGATTGGACATTAATACTTTTTGGGACTGATTGGTTCATCGGTTTAAGGTGGATTAGTGGGTGGGATTGAGAAAAAATAGTTCGACGTCCACACATAATCTATGTTTAGTTCATTTTTAAGCAAAGGGATTAAATAATTGGGCTGTTCCCTACCCAATATGAATAGTGAATTTTACCCCATGTATGTGGGTTTAAAATAAACCCATGGTTCATTGGGATTATGATTTAAGTTATTAAAATACTAGTTATTCCCGTGCCTGAAAGCACGGAGTAATAATAAAAAATGATCAACAATAAATATATTTATACTTATATTCAAAATCGAATTACAAAGATAAATAAAAGAGAAAATAATTTAAGCACCGATTGTAGTTGAAGCGAGCGATGGTAGTGATGGTGAGAGACGATGAAGGAATGGTGGTGGTGGGGTAGTTGTGGGGTGGTGATGGTGGCGATGATGATTGTGGTGATGGTTGTTGTAGAAGAGATGGTGGTGAGATGACATTGGAGGTGGGGTTGGTGGTGGTGGGGGTAGGGTGGCGGCAGCGGTGATAATAGTAGCGGTGAGGCGATAGAAATGGTGGTAGTGGTGATTGTGGTGGTTGGGCGGCGGGTGTTGTAGTGTTGGTAGCATGGTGACGGTGGTGGTGGTTGTTGAAGCTAAGGTGGTGGTGTGTGGTAGCATGGTGGTGGCAGTGGTAATGGTGGTGGTGGTGGTGGTTGTAGTTGTGGTAGTGGAGTGACAGTGGTGAGATAGTTCTAAATACTACTTTTTTTCTTTTAAATATTTATGAAAAGTTAAAAATCCTATAAGTGTTTTTAAAAAGTTACCTCAAATACACTCTTATGAGCATATTTCTCTATTAAATTTGGGGTGTTAATATTAGTCATCAGATTAATTTTAAAATAAAATTTAAAGAGATCTCAACTACTAAAAATAAAAGTTATTTTGTTTATCTTTGAAATTTGAATTATATTGTACTTTATTATATAGATTCATGTAATGAATAAAAAATGAGTTGAATGAAGGGCATTAAAGTCAAAAGACAATCCATATTGTGGCCTCCACATATTTTTTTCTATTACAATTCAACATTTTCCAAACATGGGATAAAATAACATTTTTATCCAAACCTATTTTCAAAACCCAGTTGGATGAGTTTGGATTGATCTACCTAACCCAATCTAATCCAAAAATAATAAAACTTACGAAACGATCCCTAAGGGTAGTTCTACACCATTTTTCTCAGTTTGAAATGCTTGCTTTCATGATTTGTGGAAGATTGAATTAGGTGTTAGTTCCAACACTACTAACAGCTAACATTGCTTTCTACTCTAGGAATGCCCTGTAGTGCTAGGCTTACCAGACCTGAAAACCTTAGCCTAACCATTTGAACTTGGTACACAATTTTTCTATAATTCTCCCTTATTTTCTTCTTTCTTTTTGGAATAAATTTAGGAAATAATAAATCTAGAGCCTCGGTCATTCTTGAGTATGCATCAAATAGTCGTTACCCAATGTATCAACTAGTAGCTACCCCACTCGCCAAATTAGTCTCCATGACAGCCAATAAGTCCTTAATTCATTGTAATCAAAATAGACTAAAATACTACAAGTTGGATTTAAATACTGCATCGAGTCTGATTCATTACTCCCCGTAAACACCATATCCAACTTCAACTCATTGTTATGTCTAATCTAATCTACCACTCTCCATCAACTCCATATCTAAATCACTTCTCATAAGGAGTTTTTTCTTCAAACAAACAAGGTTTAAAGCACTCACTCCTCCTCGTGAGTCACCACAATTAGTTTAGTCATCGTTACTCTAATCACACACACTGTTCTTAAAAACCAAGATTAATATCAAAATGTCAAACCACTGCTTAAAGAGTCCACCTAGAACTGTCAATCATTGGTACGGATTGCAAATGTTCCGGAAATGGGGGAATCGAGCACCGTGTTCACTATAAATGTTTACAATTTAAAGTCAGCTAAACCCTTGAAACTATACGAGCAACGTGAATCTCAACATACACTTGTAACATCAATGATGGCCCACAACATATTAAACATCAAAGCATCATTAACAAACACCCTTAAGAAAACCAATGGTGAGAAGACTTAAGCATGCAATTACAAACCTCACTTACTGCTTAATCAGTCAAAAGAAACTAGAAAAACCAAGAGAGAAGTCTGCATGGCGGTGCTGTCCAACACTCCGATGACACATGTCATTGTCACAGTGCCACATCAGCCGACGATGGACCCCATCTCTGAGGTCCATTCTAGAAGCCACAAAGTTGGAAAGTTTTGAAAAGAAAACAAAGGGAATGTTTAAGCAATGTGCTTTTTGAGGGTGGGGGTGGCAAAAGAAGATGGTGACTGTAAGAAAATGAGAAGGGGAAGGGAATGCTTGTCTGGTGGTTTGAAAATTGTGGATTACGTTTCCATTTTGAGTTCTTGAAAAAGCCAATCTCCTATACTTGGACAGCATAAATGATCATTACAAAAAAGAATTTTGTACTTCTTTGGGGAATGAGATTGGATCCTAAGTATCTTTCATGTAATGGACATACAAAGCACACGCCTGGGACCAAAAGAGACAGATTAGAATAATTACTAGTGGACATTCGAGATTAGAATAGAAATACGTGTGCAAATGAACCAAACTGAGTATGAGATTGTTAGGGCTTTTGCTTGCAAAAAACGATTTTGATTGACTCAACATCGTGATAGGTTTCAAATATCATGTTCAAACTCGACTTATTGATTTCTTTGTCATCATATGATTTGATGAAATCAACTAAACTCATAACTTCCAAAAACGGAGATTAACCAAAGTCATTTTGGATTCAGTTTTTCTCTCTGATTCTTTTCTATCTCACAGAGACATGATTGTATCTTCACCATGTAGAGAGGGTGTAACTCATTTTTTTTTTTAATTACTAATAGGATGATTCAATGTGATGGTGTGTGGTCCATTCCCTTTTGTGTTCTTCTCTTTTCCCTTCTATTTTCTTTCTCTCTTGTGTTTGTTCATTCGTGAAGGGTGTTTGAGATTGACTCAGGATCGTGACAAACTTTAGATATTTAGTTCAAACTCAACTTATTAATTTTGTCCAAGCATCGACCATCTCCGAAAAAATTGATAATGAAGTTATAAAAGGTCAAAAAGATCAGAACAAAGTTCCGTGAAGGATCTTGTATGGTCCTCATGATATAAAATTGCATCCAAATTCCACAAAAATGTGCTAAGCATGCCATAGCTCCAATCTTCTGTAAACCTAATTTTCTACAAGATATTACCTTTTTTTTTTTTCAAAAAAAGGCATGGAGATTGTCACTTGGAACCCGAGGATAGTAACATTTACTATAAATAAATAAAAGCAAATTTAAAGTTTAGCCCACAGGGTTCTAGGGGTGGAGAGGGGAATAAAAGCAAAGCAAGAAATTGTTGGGGTGTTCACATCATTCTCTTCCCACACTAGTTAGATTAATCGGGTTCGTTCATTTAAAGAGTGTTTGAATTGATTTGGGATTGTGACAAGTTTTAGATATTCTGTTTAAACTCGGCTTATTGATTTTTTTTGTCCAAGGTATTGAAAATAAGATCATATGATTTCTTGAAATTAACCAAACTCACCCTCCAAAAAAAGATATCAACCAAAGTGATTTTGACTTTCAGTTTTTCTCTCCGAATTTCTTGTTTATCTCATTGAGATATGATTGTATCTTCACCATATAGATATGGGTGTAACTCATTTGTTTTATTTATCAAGAATAATAGGATGATTCAAAGTGACCTATTAGACTTTGGTGCGTGGTTAATTTCATTTTATCTTCTTCTCTTTTTCCATCCCTTTTCTTTTTCTTTTGTGTTCATCCATTCGTGAAGATTATTTTTGGGATTGGTTCAAGATCGTGACAAGCTTTAAATATCTTTTTCAAGCTCCATCGACTTGTTAATTTTTTGTTTAAACATCGATGTGAGGATACTATATATGTATTCATCATCTATCTTCAAAAATAGTGATAGTGAAGTTAAAAGGTAAAAAATATAAGAACAAGGCTCATGATATAATCTTTCAACTTCCACAAAAAAAAAAATAAATAAATAAACTCTAAAGGTATCTCAA